CTGAGTCAAGCGGTTGTGCAACCCAGACATTTTGAGTATGTGCTCACTGACAGAACTATTTTTCTCCATCTTACAACTGTAGAACTTGTCAGAGACTTCATATCTCTCGACCCGGGCATGAGCTTGAAAAACCATTTTCAGCTCTTCGAACATCTCATATGCTCCGTGTTGCTCAAAACGCTTTTGGAGCCCCGGTTCTAAACTGTAAAGCATGTCCCACTGAACGAGGGAGTAATCATCAGCACGCTGCTGCCAAGCGTTCATAACGTCTTGGTTCTCTGGGATGGGTGCTTCACCTAGCGGTGCTTCTAGGACATATTGTTTCCTGGCAGCTATGAGGATGATCCTCAGGTTCCGGACCCAGTCCGTATAGTTGCTGCCATCATCTTTCAGCTTGGTTTTCTCTAGGAACGCGTTGAAGTTGAGGTTGACATTAGCGTGGGCCATTTGATCTATAAGACACATTGTAAAGATTTTAGACTAAGTTCATGATATTTAAGTTCATCTAATCAAATTATTTAATGAACTCCCACTCAGATTAGACATCCCTCTAGTCATCTAAGTGATACATGATTCGACTCAACTAGACCGTGTCCGATCATCACGTGAAACGGACTAGTCATCATCGGTGAACATCTCCATGTTGATCGTATCTTCCATACGACTCATGTTCGACCTTTCGGTCTCTTGTGTTCCGAGGCCATGTATGTACATGCTAGGCTCGTCAAGTCAACCTAAGTGTTTTGCATGTGTAAATCTAGCTTACACCCATTGTATGTGAACGTTAGAATCTATCACACCCGATCATCACGTGGTGCTTCGAGACAACGAACTTTCGCAACGGCGCACAGTTAGGGGAAACACTTTCTTGAAATTATTGTGAGGGGTCATCTTATTTACCACCGTCGTACTAAGCAAATAAGAAGCAAAACATGATAAACATCACATGCAATCAAATAGTGACATGATATGACCAATATCATATTGCTCCTTTGATCTCCATCTTCGGGGCGCCATGATCATCTTCGTCACCGGCATGACACCATGATCTCCATCATCATGTCTTCATGAAGTTGTCTCATCATCTATTAATTCTACTACTATGGCTAACGATTTAGCAATAAAATAAAGTAATTACATGATGTTTATGTTGACACGCAGGTAATAGATAAATTAAGACAACTCATATGGCTCCTGCCGGTTGTCATACTCATCGACATGCAAGTCGTGATTCCTATTACAAGAACATGATCAATCTCATACATCACATATATCATTCATCACATCCTTTTGGCCATATCACATCACACGACATATGCTGCAAAAACAAGTTAGACGTCCTCTAATTGTTGTTGCAAATTTTTGCGTGGCTGCTATAGGTTTCTTAGCAAGAACGTTTCTTACCTACGCCAAAACCACAACGTGATATGCCAATTTCTATTTACCCTTCATAAGGACCCTTTTCATCGAATCCGATCTGACTAAAGTGGGAGAGACAGACACCCGCTAGCCACCTTATGCAACTAGTGCATGTCAGTCGGTGGAACCTGTCTCACGTAAGCATACGTGTAAGGTCGGTCCGGGCCGCTTCATCCCACAATGCCGCTGAATCAAGATAAGACTAGTAACGGCAAGTAAATTGACAAAATCGACGCCCACAACATCTTGTGTTCTACTCGTGCATAGAAACTACGCATAGACCTAGCTCATGATGCCATTGTTGGGGAACGTTGCAGAAAATAAAAAATTCTACGCTTCATCAAGATCAATCTATGGAGTCATCTAGCAACGAGAGAGAGAAGTGCATCTACATACCCTTGTAGATCGCGAGCGGAAGCGTTCAAGTGAACGGGGTTGATGGAGTCGTACTCGTCGTGATCCAAATCACCGATGACCAAGCGCCGAACGGACGGCACCTCTGTGTTCAACACACGTACGGTTGGGGAAGACGTCTCCTCCTTGTTGATCCAGCAAGGGGAAAGGAGAGGTTGATGGAGATCTAGCAGCACGACGGCGTGGTGGTGGAAGTAGAGGGATCCCGGCAGGGCTTCGCCAAGCGCAAGCGAGGAGGAGAGGTGTTATGGAGGGAGAGGGAGGCGCCAGGAGCAAGGGTGCGGCTGACCTCTCTCCCCCCTCTTTATATAGGGGCCCTGGGGGGCGCCGTCCCTAGGAGATCCAATCTCCAAGGGGGGCGGCGGCCAAGGGGTGGCTTCCCCCCCAAGCCAAGTGGAGCGCCCCCCCCCCACCCCTAGGGTTTCCAACCCTAGGCGCAGGGGAGGCCCAAGGGGGGCGCACCAGCCCACCAGGGGCTGGTTCCCCTTCCCACTTCAGTCCATGGGGCCCTTCGGGATAGGTGGCCCCACCCGGTGGACCCCCGGGACTCTTCTGGTGGTCCCGGTACAATACCGATTACCCCGGAAACTTTTCCGATGGCCGAAACTGGACTTCCTATATATAAATCTTTACCTCCGAACCATTCCGGAACTCCTCGTGACGTCCAGGATCTCATCCGGGACTCCGAACAACTTTCGGGTTACCGCATACTAATATCTCTACAACCCTAGCGTCACCGAACCTTAAGTGTGTAGACCCTACGGGTTTGGGAGACACGTAGACATGACCGAGACGACTCTCCGGTCAATAACCAACAGCGGGATCTGGATACCCATGTTGGCTTCCACATGCTCCTCGATGATCTCATCGAATGAACCACGATGTCGAGGATTCAATCAATCCCGTATACAATTCCCTTTGTCCATCGGTACGTTACTTGCCCGACATTCGATCATCGGTATCCCAATACCTCGTTCAATCTCGTTACCGGCAAGTCACTTTACTCGTACCGTAATGCATGATCCCGTGACCAAACACTTGGTCACATTGAGCTCATTATGATGATGCATTACCGAGTGGGCCCAGAGATACCTCTCCGTCATACGGAGTGACAAATCCCAGTCTCGATTCGTGCCAACCCAACAGACACTTTCAGAGATACCCGTAGTGCACCTTTATAGCCACCCAGTTACGTTGTGACGTTTGGCACACCCAAAGCACTCCTACGATATCCGGGAGTTGCACAATCTCATGGTCTAAGAAAATGATACTTGACATTGGAAAAGCTCTAGCAAACGAACTACACGATCTTGTGCTATGCTTAGGATTGGGTCTTGTCCATCACATCATTCTCCTAATGATGTGATCCCGTTATCAATGACATCTAATGTCCATAGTCAGGAAACCATGACTATCTGTTGATCAACGAGCTAGTCAACTAGAGGCTCACTAGGGACATGTTGTGGTCTATGTATTCGCACATGTATTATGATTTCCGGATAACACAATTATAGCATGAACAATAGACAATTATCATGAACAAGGAAATATAATAATAACCATTTTATTATTGCCTCTAGGGCATATTTCCAACAATGGCTAATGGGGAACTGGGCCCGAGATTCTTTCATCGGCGAGGCATCAGGCAAGGCGACCCTCTCTCCCCGATGCTTTTTAAGATCACAATGCTCCCTGCACTAGTTGTTCAACAAAGCTTGCTCGATTGGCGCACTTACCCCAGTTTAGCTGCCAACTTCACTTATGCGGGTCACTCTCTACACAGATGATGCGGCTCTATTCATATCGCCGTCTCATGTTGACATTGAGGTTACCAAGCAGATCCTATATAGCTTTGGTATTGCTCCGGGTCTCTGTGCAAACCTAGCCAAGAGCCTTGTGTATCCTATTTGTTGCTACAGGCTGGATTTTGAAGCTCTGCTCAATCAGTTTCCTATGCCGATAATGCAGTTCCCTTGCAAGTACCTTGGCCTACTAATGATATGCATGATATATATAGATGTATATATGCTCTCCAATGTAGTATTTCAATCACTGGACTGTTTGGATTAAAGATCTGCAAGATGGACTTGTGTGCATTAGTTGAGGTTGATCTTTGTGAGTGATTATTATAGTTGACCAGTTGCCTCTGTGATGAATTGGAAGTAAAAGAGAATATATTGTCAATTAAAGCAATATTTTGTTTTATTACTTAATACCCATGGTGCAAAGGTATCTCGGTTGGAGAGTGGAGTACTAACTATATATGCATGTAGCAGTCTATAGAAACATGGATATATTGCATTGGTGTTATCATGCCATGTATGGTTTATCATCATAAGGAAATATTTGCAATTCATCATTCACATGCCTATGCTTAAATGTATGCACCCTTGATGTTTGGAGAGGGTGCTACTGTTGAACTTATGCTCATAACTTTCCTCATAAGAACAAGACATAACTTCATTCTACATGCACTTTTATTCTGTGCAGTTAATTATTCCAAAAAAGAAAAAAGTTTCAACCACAAGATATGCTCGTAACTTGTTGCAACTAGCAAATCTAGTGATATGGACAACATCGCTAGACTTGTTGGGGACATTTCAACATGATATCCCAAATTCCATATGCCATGTATCCCAATTTAAATGTGATGAAATGATAATATATACAAGCCGATGCAGTGTAGATTTTATAGATAAATGAATTTGTGGAAACCGACCAATGCATTGCTATGCATAATGAAAAGAATATGTTTACTTCACTTCATCTATATCATCTTTGTGATACATTGATGCACTGCTCAAAAGTGCCTTGTGTTGTGTTACCAAAATACCACAAACAACATAAGAGAAGCTGCTTCCCTCCTAGATAACACAACAATTCCACTAAACTCAATCTGCCAACAACTTCTCGCTGGAATTATAGAACATTTGTACAGTGTGTTTTGCAGAATAAATGATATCAAAAATTGCTAGACAGAATAAAGCCAGGGGCGTGAGCCTTTCCTGGCATTTGCTATATTCTTCCTGTTGTCTACAAAATTGTCACGTTCGTGCAGCCTAAAGAGAGATTTGCCCGAACCAAATGAACAATCAAGAATGACAGACCCGAGCTGTGCCATCACTAAAACAGAGTTGGAAAATCTTTTACCCTGTCTTGAGAAGAACCTATGATCTCTTTACAACTGCGACCGCAAAGTGAGGGTGGTGCGTAAACTCAAACGAAACCCTCAGTTTCGGATCGCTAGCACCAACGTGGTTGATGATGTTTAGGGCTATCCTATTGTGCTCGGCAACCTGTTCAATCTGGCGGAGCTCTGCAAGCTTTTCTGGTTCGCTCGCAAAACTACCTTTCAAGGAGGGGATTATCTTCTGGATTTCCTTGAAAAAGTTGTATTTCATTACGTCCTGTAAAAAATAACGGTTAGGTTCAAATAAGCAGAGGGAAAGACTAGTGAATGGGGGGTTTCAAGGCTGAGTACTGACTGCCATGTATGCCTGGGCAGCCGCTTCCTTGAAACTGTAGTAGGTAATGCACTCGGGTATTTGTGCTTTCTGGAGAAGATCGAAATGCTGCATGAATCTCTGCGAAGAGTGGTTCAAGATTCGTCAGACTCGTCTAAAGCCATGTCTATAAGGATATCAGAATTCACAAAACTATCTGAACCACCTCTTGTTCAGTATTGAAGATACTTGGTGACTGGAATGACTTGCTTTCCTTCCTCAGGGCAGCCAGCAACTGCATTAGCAAACAGATAAATGTTGTTTAGTTGCAACAGGGAACGGTGGTATATATATAATTTACGCTCTGTGACTGTTCTACGTTGCCGGGGAGGGAGGGGCATTAGTGCCATATGTACCATTGAAAGTCCTTCTGATAATAGAACATAGCACTGAAGCAATAAACATGAAGGAGGAAATGGTGTGTCTCGTACAGAGTCCTTTGAATGATCCTTCTTCTTTTTCCCTTTTCTTCGCGCTGAACCGATAACAATAAGGACAAATTAGAAACCAATCTACTAAGAGAATATTGATAAAGATGGCATGGTGTTTTATAGAAACTTAGTAGGAAACAGCATCAAATGAATTTTCTCCATAGTGGTGTTACCACTTACCAGTAACAATATATGAATATTATAACCAAATATACCCCCAAAACAGGAAGTTTTGATTTGACGTAATTACATATTTCATTCTGTCTAATTTCCTTTTCAGCTTCTGGATGGCAATGTGTGCTTATTTATTTAAACAGTCCCCCGTTTGAATTCTGCAATTTATTTTCCTGTGGTCTTCTTGTTCTCTTAATTCTATTGTTTTCCAAATGGATTCTAAGAGGCAGATACATGAAGCAGTAAGATGCACAACATGCAACTCAAACCATCAAGGTGCTGACATATCTGAATATCTGATAGACATCCGGAATGCTACATGGTCATTTTTATAATATTGACAACCCTGCTAAATTGGAAATCTAGAAGCACATCATCTACCTGTAATTTAATGACAATAATCTAACAAAAAATTCTGAACAGGCATGATAACTTACAGTTTTCGTTGCTAGCAAGGATTCGTAACTGCATCTTCTCTATCAGCTTTATAAACACCACATGCATATACCAGTACACCATACAGTATTCACTCGGAGAATAGAGGTCAAGCTCAAAACCCAATATGAGAAACCGAGAAGCAATCCAGTATGTATGTTCTTGAGACCAAACAAGTAGTTGCTTTGATACTCTCATGCACATGTTCTGCACCACCAACAAAACAATGTCAAAATATATGACAACTAACTACTACAGCAAGCACTTGAAACCAGAGATACCTCATCGGCCAAGACATTCCTAGTTTCACCGAACTCTCTTTTCAATGCAAGCTCCAACTGCAATATGTATAGGTACAAAACAATATAAGTGTAAGATCTAGAGATGACCAATGGTCAAACTGTCACAACCATAGAATGCTCGGTCTCAAACTATTATAGATGTGTAATCATCATAAGCCCTTAACAGTTGGCTGCGTAATAGTAGAAGTAAAAACAGGGCACATTCGACACTACCAAAATTACTGCTTTCCCATTTGTGATTGATCCCTTTCTTTCACCTTGTCATAAAATGATAGTCCTAGTAGGGCATTTCCTCTATCATTACTCAAGAATCAAGTTACCAACAGTGACAGAAACATGCAAGTGCTCAGTACCACGATGAAGTGAATACTCACTCAACCCAGTAGGGAAAGGTTAATTCAGAAATCCAGTTTTTTTTCTGCATGATTATGAAAGATATAACGGCATTCATAGCTGACATAGCAATAACCAATTTTAGAGACAGAACCGCAGGTTAGCATGAAACTGCATTCACAATTTGACTAGCTAAGTGTGTTTGATCCAAGGTCAGTTTCACTAGCTAAGCGTGTTTGATCCAGGGTCATGTTAGAAAACAAAGCAAGAAGACAGGTATTAATGATGTGCAACTTATGGGAAACAGCAAAAGGGAGCAAGTAGAAAATTGTATGTGTAACAAACCTGTATGGAAATGGTACTCCAATCCTGCAAGCTCTTCCCAAGCTTGCGCCGTTGCCATGCAGTGTTTGTACAGAGAATTTTAAGCAAGTTGATAACCAACTACAAGGTCATTAATGCACTTGATCAATGATATGCACAGAACTCCAGATATACTCCCTCCGTCCCATAATATAAGAGCGTTTTTGACACTACACTAGTGTCAAAAACGCTCTTATATTATGGGACAGAGGAAGTATATTTTTATGACTGCATGAGTAATATATATGACGTAAAGGTTGAAAAAGGAATAATCCTGGTGGCTGACCTGACCTAGCTGCACTACAAACTCATTTGACTGGAATTCCTTATCTCCTATAATATCCGGTAATGACAAAGCCCTTGAAATTACATCGCAAAACAAGTCTCGCCCATAAAGTTTGCCATCTTGAACCAATAAAGTCTGTTTCAATGGATTTTTGCATGTTAATGTAAGTGGGAAACAACAAACTATAACATAATTCACTGAATACATATTTGCCAGGATAAGACTTAGGATTGGGAAACAAATCATATTTCTACAAGAGAAGGCCTAATGGAACAGAAAATGAGCCAGTAAATGAATCCTTTACTGTTACAACATAAATGAATCCTTTACTGGACTACTAAGAAAACCTCAAAGCTATTTATATACCACCGAGGGATCGAGAGAGGCGTTTTGGAGGCCGAGCTCCATGGAGGCCTCTATTTTTGAAAAATTCAAATTCAATCTTTTATGGTTCAAAAATTTTTGAAAAAAAAAGCATGTATGTAAGGATGTAACCCACATGTGTGTAAAAATTCATGACGAAATACCTTGAGTTGTGGCCTGTACAAAAAAGATAAATTCATGACCTGGGAGGATGAATAGTATCATGTGTTAAATAGCCTCAGATTTGTCTTTTTTGCACAGCCCTCATTTCAATGTATTTTGAACTGAAAATTTACACATATGTATGTTATGTCTTCATGTATATCTGTATTTTTTCAGAATTTTTTGAAATATAAAAACATGAATTTTGATGAAATTTCAAATTTGTATTTGGAGGCCGAGCTCCAAAAGGGATTTCTGCGAGGGATCAATTTATAAAGAAAAATAGTAATGAAACAGCAGTCTCCTAAAAATCAGTTATGGATATAGGAACGAAACAAAGAAGGATGGGTATTTGCAGAAATAAGCTAACCACATTGTTAACAATAAGGAAAAGTAGTTCGATTCTGATATCCAGACTTCAACTACCGGAAGTGTTTAGATTCGTGACAATCATAAAGTTGAAGTTCACAAATCATACCAAATGAAAACAAAATCCAAGAGTAGCACTTACTGCATAACTACAACGTATGACATACTCCACATCCACAGAAAGCAATGGTTCATAACCAAATTTGTACAGCAATCAGTTAAAGAATAGTTCATACACATATACAAATACAATTGAAAAACAGATCTCATACATAAATGATAGAATCTACAAAACCTTTTCTATATCTAACATAGCAGACAGATATTAGTCATTTTTTGCAATCCAGGGGAAATAAAACACTAATGTCAGATGAGTCAAAACATCTACAGCATAACAGTGATAAAGATGGCCCTTGAAGCATGTCAGTGTGACCCACCTGAAGAAATGCTCTAGGAACCAAATCAGGTACAGATTTTTGGAACTGTGCAATGAAGTGAAGAACATTCTCAAGCACGGGATCAAGCGACAGAGCACAAATGATATCTAGATCATGCAGAAGCTTCTCAAAGTACCTAATTGCCTGTAACAATGAAGTTGACGCAATGCTTATCAAGTTGAAAAGGAGTATACAGAAACTATTCACTAGTATGGAAGCATAATTTATGGCACCGATGTGAACTTACATCACTCCAGGCGAGTATTTGAACAGCACGCGGTGGTGCTGGACTCAGAAGTCTGCTATTCAGACTGACATCAAAGCCAATAGGGCAGCAACCTGATGCAGTGGTGCAGCTTTCATCACCTTTTTGCGATGTAATGTCAGACCGAGACTTAAGGAACTCTTGGGACTTCAGCATCAAACTAAGCTCAGCCAAGCATGACGTAACATGCTTGCGAGCCAAATCCAATCCTCTTCCTTGAGGTTTCCTCATGCACGTAACCACATGGTGAAAATGCTACATAACAACAAAAATGTGAAGACACTCAGAAATCAATTAAAAACCTCTTATGTATCATCTTCTTGCATGAGGTTTGCTCATGCACATGAATGCACATGATGACATGGTAAAGTGCTACACGGCCCTACAGACATGTGATGACATTTAGAAATTGATGAAAACCCCTCTTAAGCATCATTAAGATGATCACCCAGGACTAAACTTGGCATTTATTTATGCAATCAGCTATGGTGGTCCTTATTTGCACATTTCCATATACTGAAAAATCAGGTGCTCCTAGGCGCATGCTTAACATGCGCCTAGGCACTGGGCTGGAGGCAAAACGCCTAGCGCCTAATTGTGCTTAAGCATGCGTTTTGGTCAGAAACGGTCAAGGCGGAGGCAAAACGCTCGCTCAGCGCGTAGCGCTTAAAAAACACTTGTTTCCCTATGATATATACAACATAACATTTAGTTTTAGCAACAATATCATAATCGCAATAAAAAAGGCTTTGTTGTTGTTGTTGTTGATCATAATCACAATCAATGCATATAGTGGGTAAAGTGCTGTAACGCCGAAACAAACTCTATGTCCCTCCCCTCTCACTGACAATTTTAAGAGGAAAAGTGAGAATTGCCACTCAATTCAATGCCATTTCAGTCTCACTCAATTGTCTCAATGACAGTCGTTCAGAATCCATCGAGTGGTAAATCGAGGTGCCAATGAATGCACTGGCAAATTCTTAAAAACTTCCCAATTTAGATAGCACCAGTTTATAACTTGACTTCCCATTGCTTAATTTGAAACCACCATGTTACCACAATAACAGAGCATAAGCTTAGATAACCAACATGATACACACATCAAGTATCAGCATTGACGAAATTAGACTGAACAACTGAAGTGAAGAATTGGAAAGGAAACATGGGTTAAGACCTTACGAAAACGTAATCTGCACAACAAGGCTCTGCAGTAACCCTCTTCCAGCTCAGGATTATCCTGCAGTGATTCAAACTCTGCAGTAATAAACTTTTTAGTTAATAACACAAAGCCTACAGCGCATGTTCAAATCAAATAAGCAATTCAATAACTTCGCTTTTATTTCAAATGTCCAGCGTCCAAATTCTTTTATAATTTGGTGTCGTAATCTAAAGACTAAGTGGTATATATTTTAAGATGATGCACCAACTTACTTAGAAACTCCATATACAAAACAACTTGACGCAAACTAATCAGCAGTCCGCAAATTTCCAAGCCGAAGGAAAGCTAGTTGTAATTTTATTTTAAAAAGCAGGAACATATATTTAGTTGTATGTTTTGTAAAAGGCTGCAATTTTGGACTTCGGACCATGACATAAGCAAATTGATAAAACAAGGAACAAGGTTTTACACAACGCAAAATAATGAACATTTAATTGAATCAAAGGATATCTGCAACGGCAATACAAGTACCTTCTAGTGTTTTTTTCTTGGATAATGCTTGGGATTTACATGCACGCAATTGACGAGATATTGTCTCTTCAACCGAGTTCAGAACTGACAAGCACTTATCATCACCTTCACCATTCAAAGGCAGTCCAAAAGACATCGTAAAGAGGTCTTCTTCCTACAATAGCATACGATGAAGATCATATCTTATGTAATAAGTGGAAGTATGGTACTTAGATTAAAAACTAGATAAAATTGACTCATATTAACAAGACCAACCTGTATTCAAATTCGATTTTCATGCCATCCTATAGGTTATGTGAACAGATCTCAACCAACAAAAGCCCCTAGGTTGGGCATAGCACAGGAAAGCCAAAACCGGAACAGGACACCGAACCAAACAAGCCAAATTTCCAGTTAACTCAAGGTATGTTTTTCATTTCTTTTGGCAGTTAATGAAAAACAAATTCAGGTTTGCCGAATTTTGTTGTTTGGGTTGTCAGAAACCAAATTCACTGAAACAACCAACTACCAGACTTACATCCTAATGAAGGTGCCTGTATTCAGTCCTAATGAAGTTCACCAAGATGATAAATATTTTTGAATCACCTTTTAGGTATAATAGATGAAAGAGCAGAGCACATACGCATCTCAATGGAAACATTGATTATACAGACAAAAAGATGAAAAGTGACGCATTACATATTCCACTCATAAAGAGGTAGTCTGACATGGGAGGTGATGTTTTTGTTGCACTGGAATCTCCACATTTCAACAATAACAATATGCGCCTACTCGTCGTATATGAAATTAAATACGAGCATAAACCAACATGCACGGCTTCGTTATGTCAAGACTCGGAGTACATATAAATGAAATCAGTGGGGAATGGCGATAGAAAATTTCCAGCAAAAGTACCTCATGAGTTCGGGCAGTTGAAACGACAGAAATGACAGAATTACAAGTAGCACGCAAAATCCTGCAGAAGCTATTTAGGACAGCATGCGATGAAATTCTCTCCATTTTCATAAGGTAGATACATGTGAAGACGGTTTGTGCTAGAGTGTGACCCTTGTGCCAGGTTGCCTGAAAAATAAAGCAGTCCGATAAAGTAGTTTAGCCAAATGAAACACCTGCTTATTAGACATGGTTGCACTGAAGTACCTCACATGAGAAAAGATGGTCGATGACATCAAGAGTTCGTTGAATGTCAAGTGTTCTGTCCAAACTAAGTGGAACTGGGGCAATGCCATCTTCTATGGCTTCATCGATGGAATAATATCCACTTCTCTCGATACCGGAATCCATTTTAGGGTCCATTATCTGTATCAAGATGCAATAGACGCAGAGAACCCAATTAAGCAATGGATCTAAATAATTAAATTGAAATCCCACAAATCAAATGGTAAATGAGTCACTCGGCAGGCCTATAATACCAAAGTATCCTGAAATAATATAATCAGAATTCTGGTATTTGCCTTTCTCACTATGAACTGGAAAGCTTGTACAGAGTCGTGATCAGTTGTATAGTGAGGCTCAGCACTCAAGAGTAATTCCAAGCCTAAGGTGTACGTCCAGAATTCAGATCAAAGCAACTCAAGTGCAAGTTTCATGCAACAAACTTGCATATCCAGAACTCAGTATCAAAGCAACTCAAGTTCAAGCTTAATAGGGAAAAGTTTAAAAGGGAGTACATGTCTACTCCCTCCATAAAGAAATATAAGAGCGTGTAGATCACCACTCTAGTGCTCTAAACGCTCTTATATTTCTTTACAGAGGGAGTACATGTCAACTAATTAGTAACCACTGGTTGCGTAAAATAATTTAGTAAACACAAAAATATCATTTGACACTCTGAAGTACGCAACAGAAAAAATGGGAGTTGAAACACAGCAAAAGAGCAGGGGAGATAATGAGGTCCTTACTTCCAATGCAGACATTGCGGCAAACAAACTGAAGTTCTCCCCATGAACAAGTTCCCCATCTTGGAGATCTACAAGCATGAAGAAATTAGGAGGAGAACAGTTGATAGATATAATAAATTAACTACCAGATATCAGCGTCGACTCGATTTTCAGGCATCTGCTCAAATATGACAGTCCTAGATACATTCACATCAAAATTGTTTTGGAGTTATTTTGGGGAGACACACACCAGTGACGGTGCCGTCACGCACAGGGCTAATCGAACCCAAGAGTCCACAAATCCACAACACTAGCCATAATAAGTTATATTTCGTTTCTATAATCCAGTTGGGAAGCTATATATTATATCTTAATCTATCTTTTAGGTCCATATTATTGGAATTCTCTCTTATCAGGAGTTCAGGAGACTGGTCTATAAAGAGACACCATTCATTACGAGCTCAAGCAAAAATTTAACAGATAACTGCACCCACATTGGCACACTATGCGCAAGTCAACTCAAAATAGGCACAATAACACAGATCTAAGATAGATGCAAGCAAACAATGCGACTCCTAAGCCCTAAACTTAAGCCCAAGCCTATAATCCTAAATCCTAACATGAGTGAAATTCTCTGTTCTCAATGAGGTTACTCACTTCCTCCTGTCTGTCCAGAATAAATGTTCTCTCAAAAATGACTAATGTCCTGTCTATTATCAATAAGGATTGCATTAACAGACTAAATTTTCAGTTTGTCCAGTCAGCACTAGTAATATAATATTATCCTGACAACAAATTTCCCTGACCAACAATTCATATCATGTTGTTGAGAACAGACTTTGAACTCCTTCCCACCAATATAAATAAAAGGAGTGATCAATAGGTATGATTCACAAAATTATTCATGTGTATCCTTCTAGGTAATCCTGGCATGTGGGCGATCGCTCCCTCCAACCCTCTAGCTCAACCCCAGGTAAGCCAAACCAGGGGGAGATCCAAGAGGGTAGATGAAAGCTCAGACACCACAAGCTTTGCCCCTTTCCAAATTCAGTGCATCCCTCACTGCATCCAGCTACAGTTGACTTCCACAATGGGGCACCAAAGAATAAGAACTAGTGAACAGGCAACCAGCAAGGTTTTTTATTCTAACAATCCCCATTACCATGCACAAGGCAATCTTGTGAAACCACTAAATGAGAACATGAGTAATGGTATTTATCTGTTTTCAGCATTTAACAGAAGGAAGACGTGAAAATATGATGTCATTATGTGCCATCCTGCTTGCATACCAAAGCAGAAGTAAAGTAGGGCAACATTTGGATCATGGTCATGTGACGTCACAAAGTAAAGTAGACACCCCCAAACATGTTATCCATATGGCTATGCATATACCTCTCAAATAGGGCAACATTTGGTCACACATTAAAATTCTGAAGGCACTGTATGCAGCAACCTAAGGGCTAGTTGGGATAGACATGGGTTAAACTCAAACGCTTTGGATGAACAGATTTCGGTTCAATTAAGGTTGATCCGAATCCATCAAACAAGCACCAAATTGGTTCGAAGAACCAAATAGATGCATACTTGGCACAAACCAAAATTCACACATCACCTAGGGATTACAAGAAAGCAACACAGTGTCGGCATGTCTCTTATCTTCCGACCATACGCATGATACAAACCTGCTCCAGTACATGAAACTGCATGCTTGCGGCAACGCATCCATGATATAAGATACCGCATAAACTCACGCAGACAGGACCGACTCCTAGGGGCCTTCGTAATCGATTCTGTCAGGAACAGAGGAACCCATTGTCCCTCTGCTTGCAAAGGAAAGGAGGAGCCAATTGTACTCTGCTTGTAACGCGAGAAAATGAGTACAGGTCTAGTCAGTCCAATGCAAGCGCGCATTCCACATTGCTGGAAACACACTGTGAACTCGATCAAGCAGCCATCCACACACACGCTCGCGCGCGCGCGCGCGCACGCGTGCAACACGAGATCGACCGAGCCACGGTCCGTAGACCTGCTAATACTCCCGGCTCTTCAAAATAACTTGTACTGTAACTTTCAACGTCTTAGAAAATACAGCAGGGAGGCGGGCTGGGCGCATCGAGCTTACCAGCGCAGGCGGCGGCGATGAGCGGCGAGACGTCGGCCCAGACGCCCTGGTCGCCGGAGGGGGGTATGGAGGGCGGCGGCCCCGGCGCGGGGCCCGCGGGCGAGGAGGAGCCCGCCTCCATCGGATCTGGCCGGATGCGACTCGACTGCCCACGGCAACGATGATGGTAAGCACACCGGAGCGAAACCCGACGGCGGCCCGGGCAGAGCTAGGGCTCCCTTACCAGCCGAAGATGGAGGGATCTTCGCTCCGCCTCGGCCCAGGCCAGCCGAGGGCTGAGGAGGGCGCCGGCGAGGAGGGGCGATTCCTCCGCTCTCTCGCGCGGTCGAGGTGGAGGTGGAGCCGCCGCCGCCGCCGCCGCCGCCGCGCCTGGGTGGGGGTGGGGGTTGGGGTGAGGGGGGGTTGTGGAGGCGGCTTTGGCGGCGCGGGGCGGAGGGGTTTCGGCGGCGGAGGCTTTTGCGTGCCGTGGAGGTGGAATCTGTGGGCGGAGTTGTTACGGATTTCGTCACTCTCGCACCCAGTGAATCTCCTTCCACCTTTTTGATGATGATGAGAACGTATTGTTTCTTTTTTCCAATTCCACAGAAGTTTATTTACTCTGCAGTGTATTTGATGCGCTTAGATTTATTTATTACTCATACAAATATTGAAGTACTCCTGCCTTTTCATAATGTAAGACGTTACGTGAGTATTTGTTTATTATTGGAGTACTAGCCATGTTGGCAGACTCCAACACGTTTCACTTTCTCCCACTTATATCCCACGAGTCATCTCCCGTTCGTTGGGGCATCTAAACTAGTTGTCCCACGGTTGATAGTTTTAGAAACCCTGGATAGAAATAGCGGGTTGTTTTCTAAGCTAGGAGAGGATGACCTATTTTTTTAAGGCATCGAAAGAGTGAAGTATTAGGGTAGTTAGCGTCTGCCTACTACACACTAGCAGATATGATAAATAGAGCCGATAAAAAAGTAGAGACCCTATATCTGTTAGGGGTTTTACTATCAAGAGTGGATATAGGGGCTCCCTATGACATGATAACGGTCACGACAACATAATCGACAGTGGAGACCGACAAAACTATCGGGAGTGGCAAGGTATGAGTTTCAACATTCTTTTTCAGCAGGGTTTCGTCGAAGTGTGAACAAGAAGATTAAATAGAAGGCTTAATCCAACGTTGGTGGTTCCGATCATAATGATGTGCAATAGCCGATCTAGCGGGTGGGGTCATATGCCCTCCCTCCCCGAATTTACAAAAGAAATTCTTATACTAGTGCAATGTTTGTTCACTATATTAATTTTGGTGCAGTGCAATAAAAAAATTCTAACCATTGGAATGTTGTCCATGTTCACCCTCACAATGTCAAATCCTAGATCCGCCACTTCAAAGGCGACAACATTGTGTGATGGCGAAGAGTGGGCGATAGCTATGCGAAATCAGCCCGGCGAAAATTTTAAACAAATTAGGGCATCTCCAACGTCGACCCTCAAACCGCTTGCATACATCCAGACCGCATGGTCTGGACGCCGAAAGCCATCCAACACAGGCATGTATCGCTCCGCCAAGCGGTCCAGGCCACATTTTTTCCACAAACTGAAACCAAACATGGGGGCTTTGCGGGAGTCCAGACACGAGACTAAGTCGGACTTTGACACCCATGACCCTCCCAAAAGGAAAGCGGAGCCCGCCCTTTTGTAGCTTCCCGCATTATTTCAGCGCCAAATCCCCCACTCTCTTCTTTAGCCCCGCCGCCTCCACCTAATTCCCGCCCTTTTCTCTCATTTTCTTCTTCGCTACCGCCGTCGATGCATGGAACTAGACGAGGACCTGGCGGAGATGGAGGTGGTAGAGGAGGCAGAGAAGGAGGTTGCATTCACGGCGACAACGACACCTTGAGCATTGAGAAGGCTCGAATTGCCGGTTCGCCAAGGCAGCACTCAATTTTTTGCACGGACTGATATTCTTCTGTGATTGGGCATGTAAAAACTTAAACATACTTGTCTCTTTTTGGTTGTGATCAAGCATGTGATCCGATGCACGCTATGGATCAAACTTGTATTTGAATTTCAATGTGCCCTTTACTTGCTGATCCGTGTTTGAATTTCAATGTGCCCTTTACTTGCAAATCCGTGTTCACGGACTTTGTCCTCTGTCAAACGGCATCCAACCAGTCCGCGTACGGATGCCGGAGTAAATTTGTGGGTCAGCGTTGGAGATGCTCTTACAACATTTCCTTTCCACTGTTGATCAATTTGGATTGCAGACATGGCAAAGCAAACCAACAAGGTACCAAAACCCCGTATATGATTAAATGAAGAAACAAGTAATCATCATCCCGTTTGTTCCTCAATCCATTGGCCTGATAACAGGGCAGGGGAGAGCTGAGACCTAGGATCAACAAACATTCTGTTGCTACAGAACAAGAAAAACATGCAGCTATGTCAAGCGACTGGTTATTACAGAAGAAGTGGATCAAAAAATTACAACACTGCAAGGACCTGGCAGGGCAGAGACATCTTGAGCCTCGGTGCCCGTCGACCCGACGGATTCTACCGCCAACGGAGTTCTCAATGCCAAAGAGAAGGAGAAGAGTGTGGGAAATTATCATCTGTCCCGCGCCGCGGAGCTCTACGCCTTCATCTTTCTCTTCCTCTTGCTCTTGCTCTTCTTCGACTGCGCCTTCGTCGGCTGGGTCTTCTTGTAGTCGGCCGCCTTGTACTCGGGCGTGTCGCGGAGCCCCAGCTTTGACAGGACGAGGCAGTATGAGTCCCAGTCGGTCCTGCGCAGGTACTTGAGGTACTTCTTCCTCCTCTGGACCATGTCCTGGAGCCCCTTTCGAGAGTGCTTATCCTGCATCACAGAAGAGTCGACGGGGTCACTTGATCAAACTGGAGTTTGTGCAATTCCAGAGGTGGTGCCAAGGTAAAACAGCAATACAACATCGGTACGCATAAGGTTATATTCAACATTGTGCATACCTTTTTGTGTAGAACGGATGACAAGTGCTTGATTTTTAGTGTCAGTTGGGCTACTGAAAAAACAAACGCGCAGCATATCAGTGGTGCAAACAGAGCCAGAATGGCATAAAATGCTCTACAGAAAACATCAGAACTGCTTACGACCTTAGCTCTAGACAAGTGAAGAAACATAGGAGTAGCAGGCATAATGATCTGTTAGTAAGCAAGACTTCCTAGCCAGACATCTTTTCAGACTAATCAATTACTAGCTACAGAAGAATATGAAGAAAAAAACATGCTACTGTCAAAAAATGAAACATTGAAGTTAACTGAGCCGTAGCTCCATTGTATTGGCTCACAGAGATACTAGGTGTTCAAATGCAAATACTGAATACTCTATACTGCAATCTCTAGCACAGGCTATATCAGCTCCTCAATCAAATTTTGTCTTTGGGTCAATCCTAACCATCACATCAAAATCATGCAAGCCTTCATTGCCAAACACAATGGTGACTCAAAATTTAAAAATCGCTATTTATCAATATTACACTAGTCATGGAAAAGTCACAGGGCATTGAAACACTACATTTGCAAGTCAGTTTATTCTACTAGTATTATGCAAGTAAGGGATAAGATATTTACTTTGAACTCGTGCGGAACCACAGTCATTCTCGGACATCTTGAACTCATCCCTGACCTTCTGAAGCTCCAATTTCATCTTCTCTTCGCCTGACATGTGATCAGGATGGAAATACTGAAGACAGCAGGCACCGATAATCATCAGTCAATCACACTCTCACATCAGAAACAAACAGGGGAGAAGTCCTCCCACCAACAGAAAATAGACGAAAAAGCAAAAGGCCAATCTCACCCTCTCTAGCAACTCCTCCTGCGGCGGAAGATTGCTCAGCATGTACTCCGGCAGCGGCTTTCCACCGATGTTTGCAAATAGTGACATATGCTGGACTGCTCCCGATCAAGAACAATACAGCACAAGTTTGTCAGTTCCATTGCCCCTCGGAGGTAAAAGAGGTGAATGAAGAAAGAAAAACAAGCAATGCTGGGCGGGATTACCAGTGCTGACATGCTTCTTCTGCCCTTTCTGATCTTTATGGAGGCTCGTTAAGGTCTGCCGGAGCAAACCAAACTCGCCGCCATACCGCGGGTCAGCCTGGCCCCTCTCCTTCTCCGCGATCTTGGCGATCCGCCCCTGCAGCTCCTGGAGAGAGAACCACTCCTTCCCGTCCTTCCCTGCGTCCGCCGGCCGGAGCTCCCTGAGCATCTGCCCAAGCTGTTCGGGAGTGTATTCATTAGCGAGAAAAACGCCGGCGTCCTCGTCTTCCTTCCCCTCCCCGGGCTGCGGCTTCCCGGCCCTCTGGCGCATCTCCCTCCCGAAGATGTTGTCCGGGGTGTTGTTCAGGAACCGCAAAGGCGGCTGGCGCTGCCTCTCTTGCTGCGGGTCGATCTTGCGGATGCTCTCGCGGATGGACTCGAAGCTGAAGCTGAACGGCTTGCCGCCGCCGGCGTTGGGGGCTCCTCCTCCCTGGGGGCGACCCGCCGGGGAGGCGGCGCTGTTCTTGAGCAAGTCCTGGAACGACGGGTTGGCGCCTCCGCCGACACCGCCGCCAACGCCGGGGCCGGATAAGCGGGGGGAGCCGGCGCGGAAGGACTCGAGGCTGCGCTTGATGTCGTCGAGGCCGACGGAGGGGGCCGCGGGCGGCCCGCCGGGGCGGAGCGGGTTGGCCGGGATCCGGCGCGGCGGGGGCGGCGCCGGGGACGACTTGAGGCGCTCGCGGATGTCGAGGAAGATCGAGGACGCCGCCGGCCTCTGGGGGCCCTCGCCGTGGTTCGGGGGCGGGTGGCCGGGGTCGTCGGAGGGCGGCGGGGGAGGGGGAGGGAAGGGAGGGCTGTTGTTGGAGGAGGACGAGGAGGAGAAGGAGGAGGAGGAGGGGCGGGGCACGTGGAGGAGGGGCTTCCTGCTCGGGTTGATCAGCCGGAGCGCCATGGCGGCGGCGGCGGCGGCGGCGGCGGCGGGAGGTGGGGCTTCACTCCTTCCTCCTCCGCCTCCTCCTCGGTGGACGTGGAATAGGGTTTTGGGGGAGGGGAATGAATCAGTGGAGTGGTCGAGCGATCGCCCATTTGCGGCCTGCTGCGAACACACGTGCAGTGGGCTGACATCGGCCCAATACGGCCGCAGATAGATGCAAACCCACCGTGTCTGGGGGCCTAAGAAACCCACCGTGTCGGGCGGCCCAGCAGCAAACCCCTATTCAAGGCTCCGGAGGAATGTATGGTAGCATCGTAAAGGAGAAGATGCAAAGTTATGGCTGTTCACCATTTTCTCAAAAAAAAAAAAAAAGTTATGGCTGTTCACCATGCATGAATCTTTACCACATGTGGATTTTACGTACATGGTTGTGACTTTGTGGGTGATATGGCACGCGCGTCGGAAATCAATCTACAAACACGTGTTCCAGCCACCCATGTCAACACATCGCTTCATCGCAGAGCTTGAGGATCTTGCTCCAACATCATCAGCTGCCGGGCCTCCCAAGCCGGCGAGACAACCCTGGATTCGTCCACCTCCGGGAATCGCTAAACGTAACGTAGATGGAGCTACTTCTGTGCATGGAGACCGAGGAGCAGTTGCGGCTGTTTGTCGGAATGAATATGGAAAATATTCAGGGCAGGAATTTCAGACCCGACGATTTTGGAGGCCTTAGCAGTGCGGGAAGCGTTAGCCACCGCTGATGATTTAATGCTTAAAAAGATGCTGGTCTCATCGGATTGTTTTCAGGTAATTAATGATGTAAAGGCAAACACTGGAGGTGCACATCAGGCTATTATAAGGGAGATCAGAATTCGTGCACGAGATTTTGAGTTGTATCCCCATGAACGCTATTGTTGAATAAAGAAAGTATGTTTGGACTCAAAAAAAATATGGGAAGGTTTGTGGACGAGGCGAAGAAGGGCGCCAAATCAATGACTAGTGATCACTCAAAAGAAATCAACGACTAGTGGTGGAGCGAGCGACGTGAACGTTTTGTCGCATCGCAACTTTCCCATCCAGTGCCTGATGCCGGCCGACCCCAACTACAGTGTGTGGACAGTAAAGATGAAGATTATTCTTCAAATCCTCCGAGCATGGCAAGAAATCACGGGCGACGGCGTGGATGTGGAGTGCGCCGAAGGTGCCATGGCCGCCACAACCCAGTATCAGTCAGATTCCATGCTGGTGACATTGGCGGATATAGAAACAACAAGAGCGCTTGCAAAGCTAATGAGGATCGAAGAAGATCATGTCATGAAGGCTCGGGCAAGTGCCGAAGCGCCAATTTTCACAGGTTGCAGATGGAGGAAACTGAGTTGGTGAAGGAATACGCCATGCATCTCAGTACTTTGGTTGGGAAGATCCGTGCATTTGGCCCAAAACCTGAGGAAGTCGAGATTGTGGAGAAAATTTTCGGTTCGGTGACTGATAAAGTGACCAACTCCTATAATTGTGTGTAGGAAATGCGGGACGCTATGAAGGCTCGAGTCAAACGAAGCGAGCGGATACATAAAAAAAGGCAAAGAAAAAGATAAGCCACAAGGTTGAGATAAGGCCGATTAAGCTATCAAGTGAAGCACCGAACTTGGATATTGTTTGGAGGCTAACAAATTGGAGATCAAAACAAATTTGGTTTAAGCAAGAAGACAAACAACTAGGTCTTTTGATGGTCGAAGTTTGTGATCTTGTCCGAGTGGTGGTTGTGAAACCAAACCGAAGGTGCTACTTCTTTTTGAGGGAAGGCCCATCATGGCTAGCTTTATTAATCTACGAAAGAAAGTACATCATCTACTAGACCAGAGACCAGACAATTCAGGGGCTCATCTGTCCAATTCATAGAAGTCTTATTAGAAAAGAAAAGTTAACTAGCACATGTGACGCTCGATTACTAGAACGATAGCAATGTCTAAAGACGACTTTCCCGAACGACGAGGCCACATCCACACACTCCGCGAATAAAGCCGCTGTTGTATCCCACCATATGGACTGCCCATTACAGAAATTGATCATGTTTAGGGTATCTGATTCAGCTTCCACCGGAGGAAACCCTAGAGAATTTGCAAAGACATGGCCATTGTTTCAGCTGTCACCATATCTGCCACATGGGTGATGTATTTACATGTGCCGCTAGAAAGTTCCCTCTCTCGTCTCGGATAACTGTTAGAGTTAATTAATTGTGTTAACCTTGGGGTAAATCTCCCCTTGTAATTGCCAGACGGTTAGCACCGTCGCATCTGTGTGGAACGGACGCATCCTCTGGTTGCGTGCCCCCAACTTGCATATAAGCAACACTATCAATGAAAGAGATAGACACTTCTATTCATTTTACTTTGATTTACAACACGTTATCAACATGCTCTTTCCTGAGAGCATCTCCAACAGCCGCGCTATATAAGCGCCGCGCTGAAACATCAGTGTTTTTTGCGCGTGCGCGCTATCGCTCCGGACGCTCCAGCGGAGGCGCAAAAATCGCGTGCGCGGCATATCTAGTTCAGCGCGCGGGCCGAAACGTCATCGCGCGCCGCTTATTTACTGCGCCCGCTCCCGCGTGCTGGACTCTCGAGAGCTCGCTCGCAACTCCACCTACCCCATACAGCCGTGGCGGCGCCGCTGCCCGCGCCACCCCATTTATTCCGGTGACCGTTCTGGCGCTTCCTCGGCCTATCCCCGCGCCGCGGCGGCTTTCTCCGTCTCCCTCTAGTCACCGCCGCCCCTCACGCGTGGCAGTCCTCCGACGAACAGCGCCCGGCCGCTCACTGCCGCTTGACGCCCGCAAGGTGTTCGACAAAACGCCCGCAAGGTGTCCATGAATTTGGTGCATGTTGATTGTAGCTTTTATAGCCTAGTTTGTATTGAACATTGTAGATGAATTCGTCGTATGATTCTTCCGAAGAATAATTTGATATGGAAGAGGAGGAGGATCTTGCAATGACCCTACCTATGCACATCAATAAAAAACCGAAGCACAGTTGTTCGGGTATGGGTCGGCAGAAAATTTGGAGGGATAGGATCGATGCCCACAACAGATTGATGAGGCACTATTTTGTCGAGAATCCCACATACCTGGAGTCGTACTTTGGTCGCCGGTTTAGGATGAGCACTGAGTTGTTCAGGCGCATTGCAGAGAAACTAGTGAGCCATGACCGGTTTTTTCAGCAAAGGAGGAATGCCGCCGGAGAGCTTGGGCATAACACCTTTCGGAAGGTGACAGCCGCTTTGCGTATGTTGGCATACGGTATCCCGGATGATCTAGTTGATGATCACTTGGCCATGGGTGAGAGCCAAGCCATCATGTGTGTCAAGCGCTTCGTAGTCGGAATTGTGCAAGTGTTTGGCCAGGAGTATTTGAGATCTCCCAATGCTGAAGACGTCGCAAGGCTATTGGAGATGAAAAAAGTTCGCGGCTTCCCAGGTATGCTTGGCTCAATAGATTGCATGCGTTGGAGTTGGAAGAATTGTCCAAAGGCATGGCATGGGCAATTTCACGGCAAAAAAAAAGGTTTCCACTATAATCCTTGAAGCGGTGGCCGATCAAGAGACTTGGATTTGGCATGCTTTCTTTGGAATGCCTGGATCTTTGAATGACATCAATGCTGTCAACCGGTCTTCAGTGATGAATAAGATTGCAAATAGTGATTTGCCACCGGTGCAGTTTGTAGCAAATGGTCGTACATACAACTATGACTACTATCTTGCGGATGGCATCTACTCAAAGTGGCAAACATTTGTGAAGCCGTTGAAAAAACCGAAAGGTAAGAAAAATCTTGATTTCCACAATGCTCAGGCGACGGCTAGAAAAGATGTGGAGAGAGCCTTTGGAATTTTGCAAGCCCAATTTGCTGTTGTGAGAGGACCGGCTAGATTTTGGGATCAAAAGATGCTTTGGTACATCATGCACGCTTGTGTGATCATGCACAACATGATCATCGAAAATGAGCATGACCAAGATGTAGACTACTCTCAGTATGAGCTCTTGGGACATACCGTGCGAGTGCGGCGGATGGCTAAAAGGATGGCCCGTTTTGTTGCCTTCTATCATGGTATTCGACGTCCCGCAGCGCATGATGATCTTCAGAAGAATCTCATTGAGGAGTGGTGAGCTTGGAATGGCCGACAAAAGGCATCATGATTTGTGCGTTTGATGTTGATTGTTGAACTATTTGTTGTATTGTTGAATTATCTGTTATATTGAATGATAAACTATTTTTTTGAGTTGTAATAACGAAATTGAACTATTTTATTGTCGATTTATTTTGGTTGTGTTTGATCTTTGTGCTTGTGTTTGGAATGTATATATTGTTTGTGCGAGAGTCGCTCGTGCTGCTGAAGCTACGCGCGCTGCATTTTAGCGCGGCTACTGAAGCCAGCGCTGCCCGCCACGTCAAACCAGACGATGAGTATGTGGCAAAGTAGTTTTTAGCGTGCGATGTGTTGAGCGGCTGTTGGAGATAGTGTGAACGACTCAGGGAAGAGGAAAGCACTGGAAAGGGGACAGCCCTCGACCGGCGAAGCCACAGCCCGGCCCTGCGTGATTCCCGACGCGAAGTGAACAGGGCCTTGTTCACGCACAGGCCCGTTGCGGCCAGCGGCGGTTACCAATGCAGAAGAGTATCCAGCGCAGAAGGGATGGCGCATGGAACCGCTTCCGGCGAAACCCTCACTGGGCTTCCTTCCGAAGATTGCCGATCATGGCCAGATCGCTGGAGAAATCAGCCGCCCAGCGGAAATGCACCGCCGTTCAAGAGATCGATCAGGAGAAAGCAAATTTCTTGCCTTTTGTGATTAACATCAATGATCTAACAATTGATTTGATTGTTTTCTCTTCTTGGTTTACGCTATTCACTCACGTGAGTTACTTCCATCAAGTGCATACCGAAAGATCAAATCGAAGAAAGGAAATCATAGGTGTTCGACCAAAATCACAAAGATCATAGGTGTTCGTTCATCATCTCATG